TTCAATGTTAACTCTGCTTCATGATCTTTGGCTTTCCTTCTCTTTCCTTATAAGACCTGGTCCTAGAAGTCAACATGTGATCAGAGGACCCTTTTGGTTACTTAAAATTCTTTTTTCTATTCTCCATTCTGATTTTACTCAATCATAATTTTGAATTTTGGAGATTGGTCCCAGAATTTTCATTTTTACCCAAATTCCCCAAATACTTCTCATGCATAAAAAAAAATTTGAGAAACTCTGCTTTTAACAATCTCCATTAATAATTGCCTCTTTTACAAATGCATCCAGAATCTTCCTCTTATCCAGTCTGAAATTCAGCTCATGTTCCTTAATACTACATATTTGATTCATAGGCCACTTATAAACCCTCAAATGAACAGTAAAATAGCATTTTCCAAGTTATTTTTGCTCACTTCTATATAGCACAATACAATAGTTTTATCATAGAGCATTGAACTTTGGAAATTTTAGTTATGCAAGAGAGAAAGGGAAGAGAGTTAAAATGCAAACAGTTGATTTATGGCTTTCCCATAAATCATTGAACCTCTGCTCCAAAACGAGCATGATATGGGCAGCTGAACCTGCAATCAGCTCAGTAGGTCTGTCATAACACAAGCTGTTTGCTGGGATGTGCAAAATGCTGTCTTTTATACTCAACATGGTCACTATTTGAAATTCAGCTGCATTCTATGGTACTCAAAAGAAAGGACAGAGGAAGGAAAGAAGCCGAAGAAGGAAGAAGGGAGTGAAAGGCTGAGGGAGGAAGAATCCATTCCAATTTGAGAAAGGAAAGAGAAAGCTTATGCTAAAATTTATAGAAAAACTGTCACTACCCAATGTGGCACCTTTCCAATGTATTTTGTAAACTAGTTTTGACTTTGTGCCCTTTTCAATTTATATCAGGGATTAAGAATATAATCCATGAATAAGGTAGAAATTCACTTTAAAATAAACTATACTGTTTATTAAACCACTTCCTTCCTCAGCCTTAATAATTCTACTCTCATCTGATTCTTAATATTCTTTCTTGGATCTCCATAAATGGTTCCTTACCTTAAAAATAAAGGCTATTTTGATTCTTTGTTTCTTCCTCTTGTGTTTACTTTCTCTTTCTGGATTCACTAATTGATCCTAATCATAAAAAGACCATCATTTAACTTCTGTACTAAATTTATCCAAGGGCAGAATTCATCCAGAAGCATCAACTTTGTCCTCTGAAGAAATTTGAAATTGAATCATAGTTCCTAGCAATGGAATCAAGTATCCAAAGTACAAGTGTTAAAGATGATGTGTTGCTCTCTCAAGTGACCATGTCCCAGCTCCATTAATTTTGTACTTGAGGACAAACTGCCAGGGCTTAGGTCACTTGGGAATCTCTGGTCCTTCTTATGCTGACCCTGTACACAAGACTGAGCTTCTGCCTTGACTACCTATTCAGTGGGATGTCTTGTTGGCCTAGGCTGTTAGATTCTATCAGCATCTTTAATTTTTAAATTCTATCAAATAGCAAAGTTGAAGAAATGACAAAGTAGCTAGTGAGAAGGACCAAAGTCTGGAGTTAGAGTTTCAGGGGATACAGGTGTGGTAATTACATGAGATGGGGGTCAGGGAAATGTAAAGGAATCTCATTTGCAACAGTTTAGCATTATAGGCACTTTTAGTTTCATAACTACCATCCGATATTTGGCTGAACTTTAATAGTAACTTTTACAATTTATGATATGCTCTGACTTTTATTCAAAAAAGCACACACATTTCTATGTTTGAAAATGTCAAAGAATCTCTATGAAATTAGTTCTAATCGGATCCTTGCCATTAGTGAAGTGTGAATTCAGCAGCATTCAGAGGAAATGGCTTTAGGAACATAAAAGTTAATCTATCATGCTAAAAGATCATTGAAAACACTATTTTATAAGCCAAAATGATGGCAGCTATATTAACCAAAATACATTTGCAAAGGAAATTTTTAAGAAGTATATCTTTATTTCCATTAGATGAAAGTGTGCACATGTCTCCACTCATATATAAGCAGTTAAAATTATAGAATATTTTATAGTTGGAAAGAACTTAATTATGAAGTCCAACACTTTCATTTTATAGTTAAAGATACCATAGCCCAGCAAAAAGGCAGACTAAATAATATGTCTAACATCTTTTCACCAGAACTCTTTTCCAAAGATATTTTACTTCTATAAAAATCTATTAAAAACCTTTACTATGTACTGCAATGATAAAGGGAGGACCCATTTGCCCCAAAGCCCT